GGGGGGGGTTTATTAAAGCGAAGTGGACATTAAGAGTAAGACCCCTTGCATGCAGAGCTGCCCCTTGAGGATGGAGGGCGGGGGTCAATCTGCAAGACTGTACAACTAGCTGAACAACTAACATACAGAAAGGCCGTCTTTATTCAGCAAAACTGTCAGAAGACTGCATAGAAATAGCATGATCCCTAAGACGCCAGCCGGATAATGTTTGGACTTGGGGATTTTCGTTCTGTGGCTGGACGGCGGACAACGATACATGTTCGTCCGCTCTGCTTGCCAGAAGAACCTTCCTCTTCTGCAGCACGGGCCTTCAGGCAATCGCATTTCCCAATAAACTTCACAAAGCGACCAGCAGCTAATGTTACACTCGCATGTCTTTTCGCTGCAATATCGTCTATGCAGCAGTGGGCCGTTAGGTAGGAGAAACGCAGCTCGACAGCTACAGTTCCTTTAAAATTATTTGTCCTTACCCCGGATCCTTGAACCCTGCGCGTCTGACTCGTTTACCGTCGCGACCGGGCTGCTTCAAGCCGGGTGCAAAGATGCTGGTGCCGGCAGTGGGGCTGCTGTCCTGGGATGGCCCATGAGGTTTCAGTAGCTGAGTTGAGGAAGCGAAGTTTAGGAATTGGTTCTCGGTCCGGCTTTTCTGTTCAAGTCTACGGGAATGTATACACCCAAGGCCCGCTTATAATTGCAGCTTGTGCGAAGCGCTACTGTCTGCCATCCCTTCGGACCAGGCGCAGGAAGCTCTCCACGTGCGCGGCCCTCGAAACGCTTCGTGCGCACGCGGAAGTCGCGCGACACAGCATCTGCTCGCCTGGCGACTGGTTACGTACTCTCGTTGCTGTTGTGAAGACTAGATAATCACACGGATATACACCCACTCAGAGCATGATACATACTTATACACACGCAGACGATCGTTGTGAATGCTTCTAGGCTCTAGATACATCTGTGCCTGCGAGAAGGCCGGCCTGTTGTTGGCTGTTCACCTTGTGCTTCTCATTTCTCATCTGTTCGACTTTTCTCAACATGGACGATAATTGGCTGCGACTGTTCCGGTCTTGGCGTCGAAAGCGAAATTCTACACCGACGGTACCAGGTTGAGTGTGTCGGATCATGTCATACCTCGCGGACAAACCTCGCACGCTAACACTCACCGCCCAAAACGACTGCAGGCCTTTAAAACCTCTTCCCGGTCGCTGGCCTCTGCTGCTGCTTTGTGAGCTTGGTGAAATTCCTGGGCAGACACACATCAACAGGGGCTCAAGGGGTTGCGATGGTCACGAAGTCGACAAAGTTTGCCGAAGTGAAACGAACAAGCCTGCTGCATAGAGGACTGTACGAGTTGATCTCCCATTTGCGCTCAGAGCAAAAGCCCCGAGGCACAATCCTTTCGACAGCTCGAACTGTAAGCAGGCTCGGCAAGGGAAGGGTTTTGGTCTTAGGGATCGGGAGTGTTGTCATCCGGATCCCAGGTGAATGATCCAATCTGACAATAAGGCAACCGGAAGCCATATGGTTCTTGCTGACATCGGCCTAATACTGGTCATGCCGGGTTACAGGTGTTAGGACTACAGGCGATGCTTTCTAAAAAGTGCGGGCTTTACAGTGTGTCTCAAAATGCAAGTTCTGAGCCAACTTCGAACTCTACATCCAATCGCTGAGAGACATCTTCTCCGGAAATTGTGGCGCAAACCCGAACAGACGTGCAAACCCTCCTGCATATGAACGGTCTCCAAGACCTTTAGACCCAAAACCTTCCAAGCACGGTAAGTCCCAAGTCTGGTGCTTGCAGCCCGGGAGGCCCCGAGATCGTCTTCATGCCAACATCGATGCGTGTCGGCGGGACTGTCGGTATCTCGGAGGGGCCACAGATGTACCGATTGACACAGTCGCTGCTGTTGGAGCTGTTTCACATACCCTCTTACAATTAGTTTGCCAACGCAAAACCCTCCCACTGCCGTGTTGATTTTCGCACAAATTTTCAACAGCCTGGTAGACTGTTCGATCTTGCTAGCCCTGCAAGCTGCAAGCGTCTACTCTTGAGGGTCTTGAAGCCCTTATGCCCGACAATGTCTCCATGCAGAGTTCGCAGACACAGACCTGCCAGAGAGGAAAGGGCGGCGACAGAGAGGCAAAGACAAAGAACTAGATACAAATATCGGTGTCTAGGACCTGCATGCATGCATGCATTCATGTCCGCGAATACATTACAAGTCTAAGTAGGGACCTCTTAGTTTGCTTTCATGGTGCCGCCGCAGAATGCTTCCGCGCCTTGTCCGGCCAGTAGATTCGACAGCACCGGTAACTCCACAAATGTTTTCCCTTCGCCCTTTGCAATACCACTCCGAACAGCAATTCACCATGTAAGCGCAACAAATATGCACTTCAAACTACGTCCCGATGGCGACTGCCAAACCCTGCACTTACATGGTGTTGACATGTTTCCAACATGTTAAAACAGTACCGAAACGGCTTGCTTGCAAAATCATGCACTTACTAGGCGTTTAGCATTGTGGGCACGGCTTTCCCGCATGCTCTGCTGTACATGCACAAAAACGGGTATGACTTTCACCATTGCCTGACAATTCTTACATTATACATCTTTATACGAAACTACCGACACGAAAACGCAACATAACATGATATGACATACCGCAAAGGATGCCTCCACGCCGGAGATCCAGGCGGTCTCGTTCCATGATAAGAACTTCGTCCGGTCCACCTGGGCTTCCGGGAACGGGAGTCGGGAATTCCTTGGCTTTAGGTGTCGCGCTGCCGCGCTCCTGGCGAAACAAGGACGGTCTGTGGTTCAAGGCCACCTGGCCTCATTGGCTGCTTTTTTTCTGCCCATCCTGGTCAAGTGGCATCTGTCCCTTTGGGACAGAAAGCACAGGAACCCAATGCCAAATACTCTGGTTCATCAAAGATACCAGAAAATGTATATGTGCATACAGAACATGATCATAAGTATCATAAGTATCTATGTGTATTCAATGTAAATGTATTTAGCAGCAGCCGCGCAAGAGAGGCGCGGTTTTTGTTTGCTTCAGTGCGGCATTTGGGTGTTCTCAGAAGAAAGGGGAAGTTCACATAGATTCGGGAATCGCACAGCTGGAACTGCTCAGTTCAGCACGAGCGCGTCATAGTGCAAGCGACCCTGGTACAGGATCGGCACGGTACGACCACCTGAGCCGAATCGAGCAATGCGGGCGTACCCTCCGCGGCGAGCTTCGTAGACTTCGATGTTAACCTTTTTCCTTGGCTGACTTCTGAACCCCTCGCAAAAGTTAAACTTTTAGCCTCCTTATTACTGTTCATATAGACACCTAGAAAGCTACAGTCCTAAGCGCAAACCAGCAGAATGCCAAGTTTCATCTGTGCAAGAACGGCCAGCTCGATTCCGCCGCCCCAGGCACCTCCCCGGAGGCTTTGGACATACGAGCTGACGCCGACGTTGGCATCCATCCGGATCCACTCTGCTATGGGTGTCTCCAAGATCTGCATGTTGGGGTATGCGGCGATGGTGTCCGCCACGCTCTTACGCAGTGACCCGGCTGTGCTTCCGTCGCCAAGTCCATACGAAACCGAGTGGAACATGCATGAGCCGTCTCCCGGTTGGCGAACAACGCGGGCGCGGCTGACGAACTTTGCCTCGGACTCGGCGGCGCCAACAAGCTTGGCCTTGCCTTTCAAGCACCAAGCATCCGGATGCTTCTCTCGGGGCTTTTTGAAATGGGGGCAATTCTCCGTGGCATGTGGTCCATCGCACTTGTCGCAGGTCACCTTGCCCTGCGAAGGCGCCACAGCCGGGGCCATGGGCTGGCTCTTTACCGGAGTACACATCGGAGCAATGGCCGGAGATCCCGTGAAGGACGATTTCACCATGGCCAGGGCACTTGAGATCTGAGGGCCGCTGGACCACACGTTTGGGTTGGGTGCAGCATTCTCAACATAGAGCTTGATCTGCTTGGTGCGAATGATTTCCGGCCCTCCTCCGTGGCGAGACTGCAAGTACTTCCACACTTCTGCATTCACCCCGCGGAAGTGCTCCACAGCCCTCTTTCCTGGGAAGGGAGTGCCATCTGGGCGAACCAACGTCTCGTTGGTGATCGGACCGGGGGGGCCAGCCTTTCCAGTTACGAAGGCCTTCCACTTATCCAGCCAAGTGGTGCACACGAGATACCAAATCTCGCTGTTTTCGGAGTCATGCCTCTGGACAAACTGCTTCTCCTGAGCACGGCGAGTCGACAGGCTTTCTGTTGTTGACGTCGACGATACTTTCGAGACCTCATCACTCATGGTGTTCGGGGCCAACCCGCGAGAACGCTTTTTACGGCGGGGCTGCAGGTCGAAGCATCCCAAAGACCACGAGAACATGGCGACAGCGATCGAATTCTGGGCCTTTGTGGCGTCAGAAGAAAGACGAAGGAAGGATGCCAAATACCTAGGAATCGTTGTTTGGGGAAAAATGAGGATTGCAAAGATGCCCGATAAATTCGTGGCATTGACGTATCTTTAGAAATCTGTGGCATCACAGCACCGCCCAGTGCCTGAGGGCGATCCTTCCGAAAAGCTGTTCGTGCTTGATCCAGTTGTTTTGGGTCGAAAAGTTGGGCTTGGCTTTGAGAGGGGCGCCGCGGCATATCAATACCACGTTACCATAGAAGCAAACAGCCATGACATATGACACTAAAGCGGAAAGCGACTGCGTGAACTCCTTGCTGGGCTGCGAGTGTTCAGCAGCGAGTGCCTCGGCCAAGACACATCGAGCAGGTCGAACATGAGGTTGATGTCGCCTTTGTAACCCATCGCCTCCCAGGTTTCGGGGCCTACACCGAACCCCCTCAATCTTAGAGGCACTTGATGTTACACGGGCCTGAAGACATGGAATAGGGTTTGGGGATGTCTTGCCCTGCTCAACCTCAACCGGGAAGAAACCCTTCATCCGCAGCCCATATGCGGTTAATGTGTGCGGAAAGACACCCGTAGTATTCTCAAAGCTTCCACCTTTCTCCCCAGCATCATCCCCTTTTCAACAAGGAAATCCTTGTTCCGGTTGTTTACAGTTCACAAGGAAAGCCCACGATCAAAGCGTAACAGGGTACCATTGGCAGACCTGATCTGATCTCAAAGCTTACCTTGTGAACAGTATGGAATGACCTGCAGACTATCACCCTAAGCTTGAGCTCTAGATCACAAACCCCGGCCCTGAAGCCGTGGACCTTTATATTATACCTGTAGGCCCGTTGGACCCAACATACACATGACACTAACATATTCAATGATCCGTCGGCGTTTGTACTGTAGCACACTGAATGACCCCCAGGCCCCTAAACAGAATCAGAAACAACCCCAGCTTAGACAAACAACTAAAACTCAACAGAACTCGACAAACCCTCATAAACCAAAACCCCCAAACCTTTATCACCCCTCACAAAACCATCTCCTTTGGAGCCCTCGAACCCCAATCCCTAAACTCAAAAAAAACCCACGAAGGAGCCTGGCAACCGAAGCGGAAGTCGGCCATCTTCACGCGGTCATCGCCTCTGAGGTCCATGACTTCGTGCCACGTGGCCTTCCCAGCTTGGGTCGTCTGAAAGGCTGCTTCTTTTGGGACGTATACCAGGTTCCTCTCGGGCTTCGTACAGTAGGGGGCTGTACGGTCGTATGTGTGTGTAAACAGAATCTCATGATATGCATGTCGGTAGGTACGGGAGGTAGGTAGTTAGGTAGATAGGCAGGCAGGCAGGCAGGCAGGCAGGCAGGCAGGCAGGCAGGCATGTACGTATGTACGCCCGTGTTTCTCTATTTCAGACTTGCAGCAGGTTGCAGAGGATTCTGGGATATTCAGGATAAGGGCACAGCTTGCGGTTCAGGACGTGTGCCGTGTGCTTAGGATTTGGGCTTGAGACTGACGGCGTGCAGATGGAAAACGCCAAAAGCCAAATCACAACCCGAACGTTCTTGCAGGATTCCTTCACAAACCTCAGTGTGTACTCACCCTGACCCTTGGGACCTAATCGAAAGCCCTGCAGCCAAAGAAATCACCTAAGCCTAAACCCCGAATCTCTGGAACCCCGACACTTCAGCTCTCGCCGTAGAAAGCCAGAAATCAAAAACGGGACTATTTAACCAAAAGCCCCAAGCAGAACCTCCCAGGATCCATAGCTGGCTTCAGCACCTCTGCGCATGCCCAAGTTAGAAGGATGTCTTTTGGGGCTTCGAGTTTGAGGCGAAGGGGGTTACCAAGCTCCAACCAACATGATCTACAGATGCTCGTCCTGAAGAACGGATAGTTCTACACCGTGACCATGACCGCCACCAAACGGCGGTCTCACCATTTCGGCCTCTGCGTTGCATGGGGGCATTCGGAAAACAAGGAACCCCCTGTTGACCAGCGATCCGTGCTTAGTACGAATTCAAGTACCAAGGCATCCTTAACTTCGGGGATAGACCGGTCGCGGAACCGTCGTCGTTGCATTCCAGCATGATGGACAGTCCAGGGGCTGCAGAAGCAGAAGCAGTGCAGTCCCGGCTTTTGGGCTTTCTGGCCGCAAAGGGCTTCAGGGCCAAGCGCCGGGTGAGGACACGGGGCAAAACACTTAGACTATATATAATCTTGCTTCAAACGCTACCGCACACTTGTAGGACAACTACGAAGCAACCTTCTACTCCCACGAAAGCCGAAAATCAGAGGCTACGTGGTCGACCACCAGGAAGCCCAAACAAACCTTTTGCAACAGGCTTGCAACGTCAGCCCAAACTGCTCTAAACCTTTAGACCCTGTCGGTCTCCAAACCCTGCACATTGACATCGCCAGCCCGAAACCCAAAAGAACGAGTTTCTGCTGCCAGGTGCGTCGCGATCCTGCTCAATGGGCAAAAGGATTTATTTGGGGCTCACGGCAACCGAGTGCACGACCCTAAACCCGCAGCTAAACCCTCAACTCCAAGATCCGCCCGAAGCCAAGCCACATTCGTGGAAGTCGTGTAGCAGTGCCTGAAAAGGGTCTGGGGAATTCGGACTTTCCCACAGGCGGGCGGGCGGGCGTGGGTGCGTGCGCGCGGGGCGGGCGTGCGGGCGGGCGTGCGTGCGTGCGTGCGTGCGTGCGTGCGTGCGTGCGTGGGTGGGTGGGTGGGTGGGTGGGTGCGTGGGTGGGTGGGTGGGTGGGTGGGTGGGTGTGTGGGGGTGTGGGTGTGTGTGTGTGTGTGTCTCGGTTGGTGTGCAGGCCAGGGTAGCAGGAAATGCCAAGTCGCGATGAAGTAGTTGACCAGATTGGCACGTAGCAGTGCCGTACTATCTGCTGCACATGATGTGAAGACTGGGGACAGTGACTGGTCTGTGAGTCTTAGGTGCTGCTTCGTCCTGGGCGGCTTTGGAAGTCTTTCAGATACCATCTGCTTGCCTGCTTCCTAGCTGGCGGCTTGGAAGAAAGCGGTGCCCACCGGACAGCAGCAGTGGACCTTGGGAAGTCAGGCTGCCACTGAGCAATCACTGCCTATTGTGCTGCGCATGCGTTTACAACTCTTCTTCTTTTGACACCTTATTGTGGTTTCAGTGTTCGCAGCCACCTCGTCCTGCTGTTGGCATCGCTCCGAACATTGCCGTTGCCCCCGCTGCTGCCACTGCTGTCGTTGGTGCCGCCGCTGCACCTGCGGCAGTGACTGCTGCTGCCGCTGCTGTAGTTGCTGCCGCTGCTGCTGCTGCAGCTGGACATGGGTGCGCATGCCATCGAAAGAGGGTCATCGATTTATGACGTGTGGAGGCCAAAATCGAGGTTTCTGCTTGTGGGCGTTGTCAGTTTGGTGGGGTCACAATCGGACCGCTCGCTTCGAGAATTGCAGTTACGTCGACGTACTTGCACTTCGTTTTTGCTCGTGATGGCGTCGCGATGGTTGCTTTGGTGATCTCTAGGCTCTCAAGGGATTTGGGACGCAGTTTGGGTCTGGGGTTTACTGGGTTGGAGCATTGGCTTTGTTTAAGAGAGAAGGCTAAGGGGTCAGGGTTTGAGCGTTAGGATTTCGGATCTTCTCTTCAAGGTGTTGGGTCTGTGGGTGAGGGTTTACGTTTTGGGGTTGGCCGTTTGGTTTACAATTGGGGGTTTAGGGTTGAAGGTTTGCGCTGGACAATTTAGGGTTTACGTACGATGGTTTAGGTTTTGGAGTTGATTAGGGCCATGATTAGGTTTTCAGGAGTGAAGAGGATATCGGAAAACAACGGGCGAAATCAGGAAAACAAGTTCGGAAACCAAGGAGGGCGATGTCGGAAAACAGCTGGACAGAATCACACAACCAGAATCAGAAAACAGCACAGACGAAATCAGCAAGCAGAACAGAATCGGAAAACAAGAATCAGAAAACAACACCAACAAAATCAGAAAACAGGAGGGAGAAAATCAGAACAATGGGCGTAACCACCCCTCTGTTTTGCCCACAAACCGGTAGGTGAAGGAAGGCCACGCTCCTTTCACCCCTCTGTTTTGGCCACCAATCGAGAGGTGAAGGAAGGCCGCGCTCCTTTCACCCCCTCGGTTTTGGCCACAAACCGAGAGGTGAAGGAAGGCAGCGCTCCTTTCACCCCTCCATTTTGGCCACAATCCGAGAGGTGAAGGAAGGCCGCGGTTCTTTCACCCCTTGGTTTTGGCCACAAATCGAGAGGTGGAGGAAGGCCGCCGACTTTCACCCCTGTCTTTTGCCCACCAGGGAGGTGAAGGAAGGCAGTTTTGTCCCCAAACCGAGTGGTGCTTTCACCCCTCGGTTTTGGCCACAAGCCGAGTGGTGAAGGAAGGCCGCGTTCCTTTCACCCCTCGGTTTTGGCCACAAAACGAGAAGTGAAGAAAGGCCGCGGTCCTGTCACCCCTCGGTTTTGGCCATGAACGGGGAGGTGAAGGAAGGCCGCGCTCCTTTCCCTCCTCTGTTTTGGCCACAAATCGAGAGTAGAAGGAAGGCCGCGGCCCTTTCACCCATCCGTTTTCGTCACAAACGGGGAGGTGAAGGAAGGCCGCGTTCCTTTCACCCCTCCTCAGTTTTGGCCACAAACCGAGTGGTGAAGGAAGGCCGCGTTCCTTTCACCCCTCGGTTGTGAAGAAAGGCCGCGGTCCTGTCACCCCTCGGTTTTGGCCGCAAACCGAGAGGTGAAGGAAGGCCGAGGTCTTTTCACCCCTCGGTGTTGGCCACAAACCGGGAGGTGAAGGAAGGCCGCGGTCCTTTCACCCCTTTGTTTTGCACCACAAAGAGGGAGGTGAAGGAAGGCCGCGCTCAGCCGCGCTCTTTTCACCCCTCTGCTTTGGCTACAATACATGAAGGAAGGCCGCGCCGCCACAAAACCAAGAGGTGAAGGACGGCCGCGCTCGTTTTACCCTTCTGTTTTGTCCACAAACCGAGAGGTGAAGGAAGGCCGCGTTTAGCCACAAACTGAAAGGTGAAGGAAGGCTGCGCAGGCCGCGCCTTTCACCCCTCGGTTTTGGCCACAGGCCGAGTGGTGAAGGAAGGCCGGGGGCGCGGTCCTTTCATCCCTCGGTTTTGGCCACAAACCGAGAGGTGAAGGAAGGCCGCGCTTCTTGCACCCCTCGGGTTTGGCCACAAACCGAGAAGTGAAGAAAGGCCACAAGGTCCTTTCACCCCTCGGTTTCCAGAGGTGAAGGAAGGCCGCGCTGGCGACAAACCAAGAGGCGAAGGAAGACCGCGACTTTCACCCCTCGGTTTGGCACAAACCGACAGGTAAGGAAGGCCGCGCTCCTTTCCCCCCTTGGTTTTGGCCACAAACCGAGAGGTGAAGGAAGGCCGCGCTCCTTTCACCCTTCTGTGTTGGCCACAAACCAAGAGATGAAGGAAGGCCACGGCCACAAACAGGGATGTGAAGGAAGGCCGCTTGTTTTGCCACAAACCGGGAGGCCGTGCTGCTTTCACACCTATGTTTTGGTCACAAACCGAGAGGTGAAGGAAGGCCGCGCTCCTTTCGCCCATCGGTTTTGGCCAGAAATCGAGATTTCACCCCTCGGTTTTGGCCACAAACGGGGAGGTGGATTTTCGACCGCCCTGTTATCTGATCTTGTCCGTCATGTTTTCTGATGTTGTCCGCCCTGTTCTGATTTTCCTGCGCCCGTTGTTCGATCTCGGCTTGCCGTTTTATGATCGTTTTTTTGTTTTCTGGGTTGGTCTGGTGTCTGGTGTTTTCCGATATCGCCCGATCCGTTTTCGAATTTGTTTTCTGATAGCGTCCGTACCCGATTTAAACTATTCATGGCTTACGGCTAGTGCGGTTTCGTGATTAGGTTTTTCGGGCTTTGGGGGTTGGGACTTCGGTTCACGGCTTGGGGACGGGAGGGAGTTTAGGATTTCGGGTCGGCTAGGACGTTAGGGTTTGGGCTTCGGAATGATAGGTTTGGGGTTTGGCGAGTTGGGGGTTCAGGATCTGGGCTTTGGGGTTCGGGCATTCAGGTGAACGGATTGAGGGCAAGAGTTTCCGTTTAGAATTCGGGGCTTGGCTTTCATCTTTGCGAATCGGGGCGCTGAACTATTCCAGCCGCCTTTTTTCAGGTTTGTGTAAAGCTATGCATGGCTTGCGACTCGTGGGAGATCGGAATTAGGATTTAGATGTGGGACTTAGCTTTGCGGCTTGGGGATGGGCTAGGGTTTGCGCGGGGTTGGTCTACTCTCAGGGCTTTGGGTGTTGGGTTACATGCCTTCGGCTGTTTGGGAAATCGGGTTTGGGGCTCAAACGTAGGAAGAAAGGCGGGTGAACCAAGAACGAAAGACAACGTTTGAGCCAAAATCCACGAAGCCGGCGAACTCGACAGGCCACAAGAGAAAAAAGACATTGGTAACACTGTAACACAGACGCACCCTCGGACCCTGGGACGCTCCTTTACCTTATAGTATGTGCACCCAGTTTCTGTTTACTTTGCCGGATGGGAATGGAAGCAGTTGTTGAGAGCCGAGAGGCTGAAGAAATCGGGGTTTGTCAGGACTGACGCACGGTGCTCCTGTTTCCGGGTTTGGGCCTACGGCAAATCCCTTACAGTCGGCCCTGAAAGCCCGACAACAACAGCTATGAGCACTGCGGCGAAATATTTGGGGCATGAACAACATGAGCAGATTTTTGCCAGCTCGATCTGCGCATGTGTCGTAAACAAACGGATGACTTTGGATACGTCGCAGTTGTCCTGACCGCCTCGCCCTTTGTCGCTGGATTGAGGGAGCCCAAATCGAAACAGCAGCATGCAAATATCAAGAAACTGGCAAGACTTGCCGACTTGCTGGTGGGAATGCAAAGACCCAAACTCAACCGTCCTAGTCAGGCGAAACACACAAAAAAACTCAACCGTAGCTCGTTCCAGCGCAACAGGGTGGCCAAGTCGTGCAGAGAACGTCACGGTTTGGGTGGTCGCACGGATTGCCAAGTTATTTGGGGGTTGTGACCCGACTTCCCGTTCAAGCGAACCCGCTCTTCTTTAAGATGGTTTAAGATGCATCATGCACAGTATGATGATCATGGGCTCATAAAAAACGCATTGACTTTCTATTGATTACTATCAAGAAGACCACCTCTAAATTGCGTAGTGTTTGTGGGTATGTTAACATTGATCTTGGCGCTTCCTGAAAGTGTAGAGAGTGGGCTAGGTCTAGGCATGAGCTGCAACAGCACGATGCACACGGGCTGGGAGTTTGCATCGATCCCGGTGTGCTACTTAACCCATGTCCCAGATGTGAAGGCGCCCCGTGAAGTATCCACACTACATTCACTACATGTGACGAGCAGCACCTGGCAGGTCTGAAGAACTGGGGCAATGGATGGATGATTGCCATGGTCAGATTTGGAAAGTGTTTGTCTCGGATGGCAGTCCGGCAGCTTGCCCGACTTATCTGCCAATTCTATTTCTCCGCGTGTTGTTAGTCTGTTTCTTTGGAGAGATTTGGGTCGAGTGATCGAGTTCAGGCATCCCCGTGTGGCAAGTCACTCGACGTCACCGAGTCAGCCGCACGACCTGGGATCAACGATCTTGGCCATCTCCCGTTCAACAGTGCAGTTGATTGTGGAAGCCCCCACACCAGGCAGGCGCGGAGCAAGACACCGAGCTATTTGTGCTTGCCCCAGCAAGTTTCACAGAGCGAGATACTGTCCAATCTCGAATTTGTGGTCAAGCAGCTTGGCTTCAGTCTGAAGTATTCTACATCATTGGACACAAGAGTGCATTTCAGGCTCCTTGCAGAAGTCTGCCCAGCTGGTTTGAAGAAGCACTTATGTAGGAACAGCTGCGGATAGCTGTGGCTTGCTTGCGCTCAGGTGCGGTGGTGGGTTCCTGAACAGCAGGGACTTTCAAAAGCGTCATGGCAATATCGACAAGTTCACGTCTCCAGCCTCGTTCAGTCGCAAGAAGCACCAGAGCTCCAGCCAAGACGCGATCTTTCGGCTTGACGATGCCTCAGTTGCTTCTATCTTGCATGCCCCCTTTTTTCTGCACATGTCGGCGACAGATGCAAATTGTAGCAGTTGGCGAAGATGATTCAGTTCAGGGTTGCGTGGCGCTTGGATGGCTCGGGTGCGGGTCATTGCCGGAACCTTTGGATCTGCAAGAACAGATCCCCGTAGAAAATGTGATCACACCGATTCCTTACTGGCACCTCGCGGTTCTCCATGGCACTCGGACCGGAGGCTCCTTCCTCGCACCTTGTCACGCGGACTGCGAACTGTTGCCAAACAATGACTGAGCGCAGCGACGAAATGCTGATCGCGACTGAGCGCAGCGACGAAATGCTGATCGCGAACGGCATTTCGGAGTGATTTTCCAGCACAGTGCGGGCAGAAGCCCGGCTCGATACCCAAACGCAGACTGAGGTCAGCGTTCGCTCACAAGGTTCGCTCAGGCTGCGGGAGCTACGAGCTTTCCGCGAAGGCCTTCAGAACTGCCGCGACCTTGAGCTAGGAACCGAGCTTCCACACCTTAGAAGCCAGGCCGCTACAAGCTCCCGAGTTCGACGCCGGGAGCAAGTCGACCTTCCACGTCACAGTAGTGTGAAGCCCATCCTGGACCGAAGAACGCCAGAATTTCGTATATGACGGTGGCATGCCCCGAAGGGGCCAGGCCACTAGAGTCAGATGCCAACCACCAGGCCAACTATGGCGACAGTGCACGACTGAATTCATTGCATGTACTTGGCGAGGTTTTGAAGTTTCGTTGAGCGGGCGCGCTGTGTTGTCCCACAGCCTTGTTCAGGCTAGGTCGCCATGTGTGTGTATCTGTACAGAATCACAACATACGAGAGTGACCTTCTGCCCCGCATGTGCTCATGTTGGAATACATAAACTGCTACGTAGGCATCCTCGCGAAAAGACCGTCGACATGGTTCCTTGCCGAATAGCGGGCTTCATGCAGCGGTGTTCTCGTGTTTGATGTGCAGATTGACAGAGTCAGTCAACCCTGGAGCCCTAACCCTAAACCCGACATGGTGTGGAGCCTTTGCCTGCCTTGTGCGAGAGTGAGAGTCGAAACCCGACTTCGCGACTTCGTTTCCAGACTAGGGCGTAAGCAGTTCAGCCAAAGCTTGTGCTCGGTTTGCCGTAATCGCATGTTTAGCAGTGCTTCGACTTTAGAAGCCGAGCCCCATACTTACACAGCATAATGACAGCAAGAAGCCCAGGCCCCCGGCAGGTGCACACGCCCCGACCCTAAAAGGCTTCTTTCATGTGTTGGTCTGCGTTGAATGCAACTCTCGCGGCTCAGAACGCTGTAGGAGGTCGCGAGCTAAGCCTGCCGTAATTCGGAGTTCACAAGAAAAAGAAACTGACTAATATTTCAGCTATGTCAGCTATGTCACGGTCACGAGCGAGACGGTGAAAACAACCAATTTGAACAAACACGGCCATGTACTAGCTAGTTAGGAAACTAGATACCATTTCGAGTCATGGGCAGCGCTGCCGGCGCGCAGAAAAGATTCGTGTACAAAAACAAGCAAGGACTGTGCTGCACGTACGCTTGGCGTGGCAAGGGTTCCGCTGCAAGTCCCAGCCGCATGCGCTCCAAAGCTAAGTTGGAAAATACCCTAACCTAGCACGAATCGACGGAAAAATGTTACTGCTCTACCGACAATGGGGCGGCGGTCAAGTAGCTAAGGAATATTGGTTGGAATTGACTAAAATTGTCTTGAACAGAGCTGCACTTGCAGTGAGTGTTGCTTCGTTGGGAAGCCGCCAGGAAAAGTCAGGGACAACCTGGCGATACCTTTAGGCGATGGCAGCCAAGCCTCCGGCAACACTGCAGCAGTTCAACGAGGGAGTTGCACCACATCCGGATGGAATGATTGGCAGACACATGCCGGTGTCCCCCAGACGACTCCTGTAAGGTAGCACGCCTGCACCGCCGCAACTGGATGAGGCTTGAACGGCAGAAAGCTCCTGAGACCAAAAACCCTGGGCGGCCCATTTGCCCATGGCCAGGCTGGCAGCACCATGTCGCCGCAGAGCTCGCGGCGGCATACTGTGCAGGACAATAGTAGCAACTGCAGGGTAAGCATATCTGGTGCATGAGATTCGGCTTGCTTGGTCTCTCTTGGACGACGGTGTCCGCTGTTCGGCAGGATGTGAAGCAAAGGCTACTCGAGACCGGCCTGAGGCTTCAATCCTGGTCGTTCCCGCATCTGTCACCGAAAGAGCCGTTGTTCTCTAGTTTACACTTCGGACCGACCCTTCAGACTTTGACAAGTGCGTCATTCCGGCCGCAGGCAAGACGAGGTTGATGTTGCTTTGCTTCGCGTAGCAGCATCCATGATCCAGGACTGGTTGAAAAGCTTGCACTGTGGAACATGCACACTTGCTAGCGGCCGTCTCTTCGCGACACAGACATCGACTTGACATCACTTCCAGCTTCAATTGAGGATGCCGGTGTGTCCGCCCAGGCACAGGGCCAGACAGGGGAGAGCGGGGAGTTTGTGCAGAGTTGGTTGATAGAGATTGGTCGGCCCTTGCGGCGCCGGTACGATTTCCGCTATCTGCGAGGCAGCCCAAGCGCTGAGAAGGGCGAGTACGTCCGAGCAGTCTCAGGACAGTTCCCTGCTGGCAGTTGCTATTCTGAAGCTTTGGCGAAACTTCTTAACTGCCCTTTCGTTTTGAAGGCTGACGGTAAACCGGCATCGTTATGCGTGGGCATGCTCGGGTTCGTCGCTCTTCACTTTTGTCGCCAAAACCACTTGCCCCAGACTCATCCCGTTGGCCACATGCGCCGGTGCCAGCCTTGTGCAAGGGTTCTGCAACATATGGGGTGCTCGTGAAAGCATGGATCCCCGCAATGCATCCGACCCACTTTCGCGGCTGACGACACCAGACATGGCAGGACATGGGCCTCATGGATGCGTCCGAGATCCTGAACTGCATCGAGGACCGGACACATGCTGCCTGAGAGCTGCGCAGAAGAACACCCGAGGTACGTCGTTTGAGAGTGACTAGCATGGAACGCTGGAAATCTGAGTACTGCAAGTCGAATTTGACTGTACGCATCCTGCAGGAGCAGGCTGGTGTCCTGCCAAAAATTACGGTTCCGGCCGGCAGCCCAAACAGGCGTGGGCACGCAGCTGGCTTTGTGGACCGTCGGTCTCCTTGCCGACTTGCCTAGCCATAGCCTTTGGGAGCCTGGAAACCTCAGGCAAGGCAAAGCCTTTGCGACCTGGATGGAGCGATGTGAAGCACTCCTCGAAGAACAAGATGAGGCCAACTATTTGGCCAAGAAACAGTGCCTCATCTTTTTAGAGCAAACAAATCATGTGTGGCAGCGCTGCCTAGAAATCGAACATCAGATCTTTCGCAGTTCGGTAGCTGCGCAAGCGATGCATGCACGTGCATGTCATGGTGCAGACCGTTTGAGGTTGGCGGCTCAAGTCAGAGCGTACTTGGCAAACTGTGCCGAGACGCACGAGAAGGAACAGCTCTTCATGCGACGTAGAGTCGCTCGGCCTGGAGTGCACGGTACTGTATGAAGTCTTTCGGAAGACCATGGCGGTTTTGATTTCAGTCGGTACTTGTTCAGTTCGACATAGCTCACAATGTTACGAGTCAAAAAGAAGATTGCACAAGATTTCCGACCGTCTGCCGAATCCTACACATTTGTAATCATTTGTACTGTCAGTTTCCCGAAGACACCGGGGAGAGCGACGCGCTCAGTTCAGGCCTCGCTTACCACAAGAGCCATGATCTCAGGTAGGCGAGATGCTTGGCGACGAGCATCTTGGTGACAAGCGAGCTGTTGGTGCACAGTGAGTGGTGCTCCACCTACTGCTTCAGGCTCGGCAGGTTCGAGGATCGAGCGCCATCAAAGTTCAGCACCATTACTACGCCAAAGTCGCGATTCGGAGAAGAAGATGAGGAAGACGAAGAAGACGAGGCAGCTGAACCACGACTCTACATGAGGGAGAATCATAGCATTTCCTAGTCTGGAGTGGTAGCGACTGTCGTGCCAAGCAGGAGTTGCAGATCGAGGACTTCTGGGCCACGGAGGGACACATCGTGTTTGAATCAAGGTATATTCGTGCCCGCCTTGCACAACGCAGATGGACGCAGGACTCCTGGAACTCTGCCATCGTAAGAGCAAAAAGCGCATCCCAACTGCAAGCGGAAGTCGCCGGCCCCTGGCGCCCTGAAACCATGCCCAGGTCAAGCCAGCGGTCAAGAAAGAAAGAGCAGAAGGGCTCGACATGACGGCTGACGAGTTGTTTCAGAAGCCTCTGAGCAGCATCTGCAGTGACAGTGCGAAGTCGCCTTTGGATGGCTTGGTGACTGCATCGTTGTGAAAATTCAGGCTCTTGGCGCGCAGATCTCGCATGCCGATTTCAAAGAGGTGGCGGTTCCGAGCCAGTTCGTCACTGCTAGATGATGCTGTCGCCAATCCCAGCCCTGTGTGTGTTGATCTCGAGACGAATACCCCACACTTCCACGTGAGATTGGCAAAGAAATTCTTATTTTATTCAAGCGATGGTTTCCCGAAGGTACGTCCACAGATGTCTGGACAAGTTTGTGAAGGCAGGCAGCAAGTGTGGTAGAAGTTTATGCTGTTCCCGTGATGGTCACTCGTACAGATCGAGCCAGGCTTGGACAGACAAGTATGGAAGGCGGGGCCGTGCTAATGTTGAGGTACTCTTGCTAGTGCGTGCGAGTGCCGCAAGGCACGCAGAATTATGAAGGTGCGAATGTAGTATTAGTGTGAGGTAACAAGCCGTGACGAACAGATTTGATGCGTCCGATGTGGAAAAAATCACTAGCAACTGGTGCAGAGAACATCAATAATTATGGACGCTTGGAAACCGTCGGCAGGACGAATGGCAGGACGTACTCAGACGCGATTAAGTCGAATTACCCGAAGATGACAAATGTATGATACCTTGTTGCAAACCCTGCCGGACGGTGGGGCAGGGGACGGAAATAACTCTGAATGATGACCGCCGCGGAGGTTTAAGATTTCGCAATCAGTCACAGCAAAAAACTCGAACTGCACCTGAAGCGCAATTCCAACGCGACGTTGGTGATGTAGGGCTGGAATCATGTTGCAGACCAGAGACTGGAGCATGAATTCTTGTCTAATCCTTCGAATGCCCACATCTAATCAGGAAAGATTTGCTAAACCTGTGCCCCACTGCCTGTCGCCAGGTATACCTCCCTGTTACCTGACGTGGAAGTTCCCTTTGGGGGGCAGACCATCGTGGTAGGCCACACAACGATGATCATGCACCTGTGCATGACTTTGCAAATTGGCTCTCGGAAGTACTGCTCCTTGCTTGATCAGCTAAGCTTCTCAGGCAAATAGCTTGCCTGATGCAAGTGCCAGGCGACACCCATGGCCAGCTGGAAGATGTCCTGACTATATTCCTCGCACATGGCACACCCTCCAATCGAAACAGGCTCGCTGAGTTGCTGCAAATCGACCGTGAGAGTTGTATGTAGGGAAGAGATGCACGAAAGCCAGCCATGGACACCGGGTCATTCTCTAGCCTGCCAGGTATGTCTTCAATGGTGACATTGCAGACAGAGGCCTCGAGAGCGAAAACAGAGGATTTCTTGACAAAATGCTAGCATTTGCATGTTTACATGTCCATCAAGCCTCTTCTACGGCACGTCAGGTGCCGCTTTAACCAAAACAAATGCACAAGTTTGATGCTCGCCCGTGTGGCCCTATCTTTTGATGGGGCCGAAGACTTTGATCCCACGTTGGTGCATGCTTCCACACTCCCGGTAAAGGATGCAGCTGTAAGATACATGGCCAACCACCGATTCTACTATCTACCTGTGTAGCTCTGCCTTAACATGCTGGATTCAAGCCGTTCTCGCTGTCATGGGCTCGCCACTCACGTTTTGAGTGGAGACAAATGGAGACCATCCATGGCCCAATCAAGATGATGTCCATGGTCTAATCCGTCTGGAGTAGGCGGCATCCATGATGACGTCCATGGTCGAACACGTTTGGAGTGGAGAGCATCTATGGGCGCAACATGATGGCGTCCAGGGTCTAATCCGTCTTGAGTGGACAGCATCCACCGCCCAACCATGGTGACGTTTGTGGTCGAACACGTTTTGAGTGGAGACCATCCCTGGTCCAACCGGATGATGTCCAGGGTCTACTTGCTCTTTCTTTGACACTACAGCATCCATGGCACAGCCATGATGATGTCCATTCGGTCTTGAATGCAGAGCATCCGTGGCCCGGCCATGATAACGTCCGTGGTCTATTCCGTTGCGAGTGGAGACGAACAGTAGCAACCTCCATGGACCAAGAATGAGAAATCCCGAAGTTGCCAATGGCAGAACCGGCGCAAACACTTGGCGGCTCGGAAGTGTGAAAACGACAGGCATTCTCCAGTTTAGTCTGGGGCACGTAAGTTTGCTGGCCCCGTGTCTTAGAACTCTTAAGTTGAGTGACGTGTTTTGGTTCGACATAGACCCTAGACTTAACTGCAGCCTGCCATGTCCCGAGCCTTTGCTCGCACGTATAGTAGTAGCAGCAGCTGCAGCAGTGGCAGTAGCAGCAGCAGCAGCAGCAGCAGCAGCAGGAGTGGTAGTAGTAGTAGTAGTAGCAGCAGCAGCAGCTGCAGCAGTGGCAGCAGCAGCAGCAGGAGTAGTAGTAGTAGTAGTAGTAGCAGCAGTAGTAGCAGTAGCAGTAGCAGTAGTAGTGGTAGTAGTAGTTGTAGTAGTAGTAGTAGTAGTAGTAGTTCTTGTTGTTGTGGCAGCAGAAGCAGTAGCAGTAGTATTGGTTCTGACTGGCAGAGCTTGCATATCCCATCACGGCCAAGAA